AAGTTGTTCCCACAGCAACTGCCTTCAGGATTTAAGGAAAAAAACCCAGTGTATTGCTTTGAGAACTGGTGAAAGAAATGGTGAGCACCCTTCCTCTTTTCTGTCTTTCTGCTTTTGAAAAATGGAATTGGCTTTGTAGAGAGCAGCCATCCTTCTAGTTGCTCCTTTGCAGTGCTTCTGCCAGCCAAAATACTATACACACACATTAACAAAAACTACTGCTTATTTGCTCAACATCACTGTGTGTATATATCATCTCTTCTTAAATGTTGTTTGCAGTAGCTATAAAGGTGTGATTTCCATGAAAAAGTTTGTTTACCTCCAACACTTTGTTGTTGTTGTTACTATTGAAAGAGTTTTGTCAGCTCTTTATCTTTACAGGAAATTGTTGTTTATCTTTATGAAGGTTTTCAATGCTCCTCAGAAAGAAACTGGTCAGAATGCACAGTGTTGCTGTAGCAGTATATTTAGCCTCTGGGTGTTGCTCTTGGACAGCACTGTTGGCAGACTACTATTTTGCAGAGGAATTACTGAAGCTGCTTTTTGTCAGATGAAGACTGTAAAACTGCAGTATGTAATAGGCAAGCAGCAGCACCAGGGGAATTGGGGAGTCCTCAGGTACAATAATACTGTCCACAGTGGATAGAAGACACTACCTTGGCAGACTGACCTCTGATATTAGACTTGGTTTTCTATCCTTAACAAATTAGATTTCTTATTTGGAATAGCATGTAAGATGTTTCATCCTCTTTTCATTAAATATAATTATTTTTTGAGTTTTGTAATGTGTGTATAACCAATGATAATAAAACCTTTGTTAAAAGTATTTTTATAGAGAATTTTTAGTTAATATTTTCATTACAGAAATCACACAGGAATAATACCTTGTCAGTGAATTCGAACAGTTTAATAAAAGTTTTGTGGAATGGTTTCCAAATACTGATTGCAGTCTTTCACCATTAATAAAACGTTAACTTTAATTTTAATTAATGTTAAACACTGAAGAGAGGTTAGAAGACTAACCTGAAGGTTTGTATCATGCTGTGTAACATGTTAGAATAAATTTTTGCTCAGTTTTCCTGCTTCAGAGCCCATGCAACCTAGAGTGTACTTAAATCCCCAAATTGTTAACCTTCTTGGTTTTCTGAAACCAGAAGTCTCTGTGTATGCTTGATTAAAAAAAATTGCAGACCCTTCAAAATGTCTTCACCAGCTGTAAGTAATATGAAACCTTTTGTTACGTATGAGCCTTTTCCATTTAAATTAAATGCTGATTACAGTTTTAGTGTCACTAGTTCTGTTTGTTTCTACTTTGACATTTTCTATGGTAATTTTGTAGCTCTGGCTTTCTTTTCATTTCTTACTTGCCGGAGGCCTTAAGAAAATAGGTTGGTTGAGGGTCATGTTGCTGAAGCTGAATACTAATCTATGGTAATGGACTTCCTGCTGTGTAGTTCAAGACACACCTCTTTCAACTGCATCTCTTATGGTTAGAAGGTGGATACTTGGAGGATAGAGAGGGGAGGTTGAAATGATCCTGTAGGAACCTTTCTGCCTTTTTTCTCACTTGCTGCCTCTTCTAAGAAGCCCAAAGGAAACTTGCCTCAGTCTTCCTTGGTATCAGCATTCTGCAGCTTTGAGCAGTGTCCTTGCAGAGATCAGGATGGTGGGGGCCTGTCAGGTGGGAAGCAAGGCATTCAGTTGCTGTCATGGGCCCCAGACACTCATATCTTCTTACTTACTCATGCCTTTAATGGTAAACCAGCAGGTCCAGCTCCAGGTGCTGACAACTTTCTTTCATGAGGACTGTTATCTTCATTACTTGTTCAGATTTGTGTTCTCTGTGAACTCACCTTGGTGTTCACCAGTTGTGACTTCATATCAGCCTTGGCTTTTGCTCACAATGTCATACCCAAGTCGGCTACTACCATTGCCTTCTAGGCTGTAGATCTGGTAACAAAGTCTTCAGACACCTGTAACCACTTCTTCTGCCTCTACCTAAACTAGCCTGCAGACCTGGTGTGAGGCTGGTTTTCTTTGGGAAGAGGAGATCTTTAAGCGGGTTGGGAGAACATCAACATTTCTTATCTCCGTGGTTTGGGTGGAGCTGGAGGAACTACTCTGGTTCTGAATGCTGCATCTCCGATCAGTTCTGGAGACTCTTGCTGTTCTGTTCACCGCCTCTTAATCTTCGTGCTTACGCTAACATCCATGATAATATTACTACATCTTTCCGAGTCGTTTGCTGCTCACTCCTTGAGTATTTAACACCAGTGCCTGTGTAGTTTTGAGAAGGGTTGGAGTGGGTGTGGTCTTTTGTATTTCAAAGCAGCTCTCTGCTAGTACAGAGTCCTACTTATCAGCACTCACTGGTATTTTAACGATTTTTTTCCTGCAAGTTTATATAGCCTGCAGATTGAATTATATTCCTTCATAGGTAATTGCCTCAAGAAGTTCCCCTAAATGAACAAAGATTGATTTCATTTGCAGTCACTTCATTTCCTCAGTTTGTAAGGAAACTGATTTCAAATGAGGAGTCAAGTAGCTTGCAAGTTGATGACTTTCTTGACCACAGTAGATGTTTGAGAGCCAGGTCTTCATTCACATAATTTAAAACCCTCATGACAACTTTCCTCAGATTTTTGGTTGCGTACTGACAGGCACTAAGATAATGCACCATGCCACAGCTCCTGCAGTAGTTGTCTTGGAAAGTGTTTTTCCCAGCTGACACACTACAGTTAGATAGACCAAAAACAATTGTCAAATTGTCCTAAAGCTGCTGTTATGACATGTGGTAGAGCTCATGGGTTCAGGTGCTGGATTTGGGTTTTGGCAGCTTTAGATTCAGGGACTGCAATACATAAAGATCACACTGTGTGGAAGGCTACGTTAAAACCATTTGAATTGGATTTTTCTAAAATATGTTTTAGAATCCTATCTGACTGGCATCTCTGTGTTAAAACTGCAAGGTATGTTATTAATATATGGGGAGAAACAAGATGTGACCTACTGCGTGAAGATGTGATGATTTGCATTTTTTACCTGCTGTGTTACTAGTAGCCATTTAGCTGCCTTGGGCCTGTGGGTGAGACTCCCTTCCACTTGCTGCATAGCAGAGATGGGAAACCTTACCAAAACTCCCTGACACACGTTTCTTCACTGTGAACTTCCAGCTATTCAACTTCCTTGCAACCTTAACAATTGGTAGCATACTCAAGCAGACTGGATCTGTTCTGTCTCATCTTGACCAGCCCAGTGTGGACTAGAAATTTCTGATATTCTGAATATGGTATTGCAAGTTTAATAGCAGCCCTCTGACTTCTTTATGATCTCCTTTTCCAACTCTATGACCTGTTGTTTTGGCAAAGCCGAGAGATGTACCACCTGGCATCAATATACTGGGTACTGGCAGATTTGACAGCTCTGGAGAAAGAGTCCTTGTTTGAAGTGAAAGAAAATGGTGCACCTTTGGGGCTTTAAGATGCAAGATTATATTCCTTTAGATGACTCAACAGTAGATTTTGCCCACGCCAGGTCTGTCTTTGGTTTTGTCATCTTTCAGTTGTGGCCTAGGACACCTGTACTGTAAAAGTGCACGTTGCAGCTTCATGATTAGTACACGGTTACATGTACTTAGTTTCAGGGCTGAGGGAACTCCAGCACTTACCAAGCACTCTGTGCATTGCTGCAGCTTGTCTTTCTAACTAAATTCTTGAGCACTTTTCTTCTTTCACTCTGGTAATAAAGTTTTTCTGTTGTTCTCAAAGACAGTCTCTTGTGGTGTTACCAGAACCTGAAATCTGTGAAATGCAAGTTCTTAATAGTGTTGCCTAGCATACGCTGTGGTGGATTAAGTTATTGTCTGCTCCCCCAGTCTTGCCCTGCCAAGGCAACAGTAGAGTAGACACAGGAACAATTCTAGGAGGAGAAAAAGACTTATGTACCCAGTAGACAGTCTTGAAATTTTGTAGAAGGATTTTTAGTGGTAATTAGCACACTTCAAATTTTTATGCAGTTTTTGTGTAACTCTGGTAAATTGCAAGCTGTGCAAGCCCTACCGGCTGAAATACTGAACAAACACACAAGAAGCCTTTTGCAGCAAAAAAGTCACATGCAATGTGAATGTGTATGGCCAGCACAACTCAGAAGATTTCTTTGTGTACAAGTATTTCAGTTTACAGAATCGATTTAGTGTCCCTCAGGAGAGAAACTAGGAGAATTCCTTTGGAGCTAATAGATTGAAGATGCTTTGGTCCAACTACTGTGATGAAAGCTGGGTGAATACTCCAAAGGAAAAACCCACTGACCTCCATATCAGGAGGTGAAGACTGCTGGAATTGGAAGTTATTTGAAAAACTTTTTGTTTTTTTTCCTCATAGAACTTTGGTTAAAGTTGAAAACTGCTATTGGGAAATGCAGCTCCGTTCCATAAGCAACTTCTCTTTCTTCTAACTTAAGATAACTGTCAAAATGGTGATTTCACAAAAGCAATGCCAACCTCTCTTTGATAGCTGGTTGTGACTTGCAAGAACAGTTAAGGTCACAGTTTCCAATGCATCTCATGAAAGAAAAAAAATGTCTCAAAGTTGTTGTGGTTGGACAACAGTATGTTTACCTTAATGGCTTTTTCCTGATACTCTTTTGAAATATTTTGTTAACTA